GATTACAAACGATTGCAAACTATTCTCGTTGGAAATCGATTGCCAACCATGTACATTGGCAATCGAGCATCAACAACTCACCGATTAGCAACGATAATGATTGCAATCAATTGCAATCAATTCTCGCTAGTAATCGATTAACTACCTTATACATTGGCAATCGATTATCAACACCCCCACTGATTGGCATCGATCGTGATTGCAATCAATTGTGAACAGAACTCGTTAACAATCAATTGCTTACAATTTCCATTGGTAATCAATCATTAACACACCATCGTTTTCTATCGTTAGCGGTTGCAATCGATTACTAACGATATTCTTCGATGATTTTTGAACGCAATCGATCGTCAACGATTATAATCAATTTTAATCGTTAACAATCGATTATAATCCCTATTGATGATGAACGATGAGGGTGTTGATAATCAATTGCCAATGGGCATGGTTATAAATCAATTGCCAACGGGTATAGAAATTTTCTGATGTATCCTATCTTACTAATATTTAAGTGATGGATTTTTATCAACATGTTTTGTGTATCAAATTCCCTTTTTTAATTTCCATGCATTCTACGTTTGCCTTGGCGCTTACTAGATGAACAGTCCCCTTGTTCTGATGAATCATTCATGGTCATCTCAGCATAAATTACAGGATACATTCGTTTCATATGCATACGTTTCTTTGGTGAAATATGCAATTCAGCAGGATCTGGCCATGCAAGCAGTAACTTTTGTAAGAGTCCTAATAGTTTTCGCGACTCATTTCCATCATCAGGTGTTGACTGAAGGCACGCATACACTTGTTGGCTCAACCCGAGAGCAACCAATGGAATTTGTAGGCAACGACGCATTACCCATATCATTGGATCATTCAACTTTCCTTTAAACGGTTTCCCATTACAAATTTGTGTTTGCGCTTTCCGCTGCGTTGTAGTGAGAACGTTTGTAGGTTCTTGCGCCAATTGCAAACCATTATCCTTTGACCCAAGTTGCATGTATAAAGAAATATATGGGTTTCGTGCTGCATCATCAATTCCCGCATAGTGTGTGGATAAGCATACTGTTGCTGCTTCTGAAAAGTTACCTGAAACTTTCCAATTCTTCACTTGAACTAACAAATATGTAATCTGTCCAACCTCCAGAGGATAATAATTGCCATCTTTCGGCAAGAGAATAGGTATAATAAAGTCTATCCCTTTCTGATTTCTTTTACAAATAATTGCAACCCCCCTCGTCAGAAATTCCAGCATATCATTGGAAGTTGGTGTATACGTAATGGATATGAAAGAGGTAAAGAATATCATTCCACGAACAAGTTGTCCAACACATCGAGGCTTGAATTTTTTTAATTCTTCATCCTCATCATTGTACTTACTCTTAAACCAGTCATCCAGTCTCACACCAAACAAAGCTTCCATGAAATCATTGACAAGAACAGGATGAGAAAATTGATTGTGTTTAGGTCTTTCGCTTATTGTTTTCTTGATGCAAGTTTCCATAGCTAGCATAAGTACGAGACGTGCCACCAATTCTCCACGATATCCTCCCTCAATCCAACCGTTTCGTATAGCTGAAATAAGCTTTTCAAGTAATGAGACTAGGGATATGTTGTAGACATGAATGATCTGAGCTGATGCTTCCGCCAATATCGGTTCTACAGGAAACATTGTGATAAGAGAGCGCCGATCCAATGAGACAAATGCACAAGCGCGCATGTGGCTGGCAACCAGTTCGGAGGCAAGATGACATTGTGGTGCCACATCAAGCCCAATACGTGGTCCCAGAATCGCGACCGCAAGTTTTTCATCCAGGCTTTGCTTATCTAGTTTTGCGAGCTTACCACCACCACCAACCAACTTTTCCATCGCCACCTTAACCAAATTGCCAAGCTGCGTAGTCAGTTTATCCTCAGACACTGCATCAAGTTGCGCGCCCCACATTGGTCGACCATATCTGTATAACAATTTGGGGTTGATGATATCATGTAACGTTGCACCTTCGACGGTCTGCATGGACATTACATCAGTGGTACTGAGTAAATATAGTGGATCGAATAGGTCATGGTTTTCAGACTTGACACGTTGGGAGGGATCATCCAAGGATGCTGGTTGGAAATTGGAAAGCCTTGAAGTAGTATCAAGAATTACCGCAAAGGCACCACAACTTTGAGGCAAATACCAGAGGGCACGTCTCAACTCAAGAAAGCGGCTGGTTTTTGCGGGATATTTGATATCTAGTAGAGAACGTGCCTCATCGAACACAAACAAAACGTTCATGTGCGTATTTCTTCGGTCTCTTAAGTATTGCTGCATACTAGAAGATTCATTAAGTTTGTCAAAGGCATTTTCAAGTGCATTGGAAAAGCTGATATCTTTGTCTTTCTCTCGTCCTAAGCTTGTCTTCGTCTGTTCTAAGCGGATTCTGATACGCTCCCAGAAGCCTTTTTCTTCTGATTGTGTTTCGTCTGTTTTTATATGTTCCTTTGCCCATTCTTCGGGAGTTTTCGATGAGTCTGCAAGTTCCTCAAGGCATGCCGTAAAGTATGCAACATACGTCATCACTGCTTCCTCCAACTTAACTTCGTCCAAATCATCTGCAATTGATGAACGATATGGATAACCACTTCCCTTCTGAAAGCTGCAATAAAATAGGTAAACGTCTTTTGCAGCCAACTGGCGTATAGCTCGCGACTTTCCCCAGCCGCTAGCCTGAACGAGGGTAGTATAGGGGGAATACCATTTGCTAGTGCCTTGGCTATTCCAGTTCCCAACGTACTCATCGAAACAATCAAGAAGGTGTTGTAGCAAAGAGTTGGGATCCTTATAGGGTGCTTCAAACGCTTGTATTACATTCGCAAGTCGAGTGTCGGTTGACTCTGCTGTTCCATAAACAGTCAGTTGAATATAATATGAGTGAGCAGAAAAACTACCAGAATCAAATTTCAATTAACAAAGATAGATTGCATCGATAGACCTACCAGAAGAAGGTTCGGCTATAAGAAATAACATTTTACCAACAGAAAAATGACAAGAACGCAAGTTAATGGACATTACAGAAATGATTAATAACATTCTTTTAAATGAATGAATGAAAATAGTTATAGTTGTCGCAACAGTATTCCATACACGGTGGTATAATAACATTTACTATGCTCTATTATATACGCGCGTGTTGTAATGCATTCCAACTATTCTCCCTCCGTTGCTTCTACCCAAACGTGTCGTATCCTGCTAATTTGCCTTTCAAACGAGTTTACGTATAACCTAACCTTTGCTACGACTCTGCTCTATGTCCCAACCCCAACGCATGTCATAATGCATTTCAACTATCCTCCTCCCAATAAACGTGTATTCATTGCTTGCTTACCTTGTTGCTTTTTATATGCTGTAATAATCTCTTCATCTGTAGCATTTCGCTTAGTTCTTATGAAATTAGCCAAAAATGAATCAGGAACATTGGTCAAGGTAAGTTGCGGGTCCATGTTGTCAAGTTATGAGAACGAGACAAAAGAACGTGTAACTGCGCGTTTATATCTTGCTGCGCTCCATGGGCATATCAACAATTGCAAGCATCAAATCAGATTGTCCCGATTGTTGCCCCTGTGATTGATGTTTGATCATGTATGGAAGATGTTATAATCCAATTGAGCTGCGGACATTTGCGCAAGCCAAATGTGGAGACTTTCGCATATTCACTAGAGCGATTGCATGGGAGGAAATACTCGGACCCAAAGCCATTAATGAGTATCCCTATACTTTAGTCGCTCTAGTGAAATCTATGCTATGTATCATTGTAAATGCTATTAACGTCTACATTTCCCTTCTCCTTTTCTTTATCTATCCATTTTTTAAGTGCTTCGATCGATTGTAATTTGTTTTTTTAGCGAAAACGTGGGTGAAATGGTGCTGGTTTTATACCAATTTCAAATTATAAGCGTTCATTGGACTTGAAACAGTTAATTTGCCGATCAAACGGCTGCTCTCCTAATGATTTATTCTAGTGTTTCCCTTTTATTACCTTTAATACTTACCCATAGTTTCTAAAACGATACAGGTATTGCTGGTCATGAATTGTGTTGGATTTGTAGTACTTGGGGCACAGCGAACCGAAATTATCATATTTATTATTATTCTTACTCGAACAGTATATAAAGAATCATGGAAATTTGTCCCGATTATCGATAATTATAAAGAAACAGATATTTTGCTTTATGTTTCCAGCTTTCGTTTCTTTCTTGGTTCATCATAAGTT